GCATTTGATAACATGCTCAGACATACTGCCGCAATGGCGATCTGTGTGAAGGCTGTAAAGCCACGCCATAGCAGATAACAGAAGTATTTATTCTCGTATTTATTAGTATTTTGTATCCTCTAAAAACATATAAAGTAAGTTACAATAACAAACGTAATCTTCTGTAGCTAAGTGCCGTTTTTTGCAGCGTTATATGTACAAGCTTTTGTGATTGTAGTCTGTAAGAATGATCAGATATCATCGGATCTGTAAGCTACGCTACGCTAATGAGACACGCCGTTTTTTGCAACGTTATATGTAAAAGCTTTTATGTGTTTACTTGTTAGCACACATGAATTTAAATGGTTGTGTGTGTGCACGACTGTTAGGATCTATGGGGGAGGGGGGAGACACACCACGAGTAAAACCGAGCTAAAGCACCGTTGGTTTGTTGTTGTTGTTGTTGTTGACGGGGCCTTACCTCCAGCATCAGGCTAATTAGTGGCTAGCACTCATTACAGTCAGTCTACTGAGCTCAGCCCCTCTCCAACACATCATCTGTATCCTGTCAGAAACACAGCATGCACGTTACGGTTCCAAACTAACTCGGATTGGAAAAGGCTAAGCAAAGAGCTTTGCTAAATAGACAGTTTTAGCCCCCATCTTTTGGGATTTCAGACTATAATTATCCAAATAGTATTTTCTCATCCTGAATACTAAGTTGAGATGATTTTGTTCTAACTATGTTTTCTTCTTTACAGGCCAGCACCTCACATGCTACCAGCAGATTATCTGTGATGATAGATTCTGCATGTCAGACTGACTCACCGAAGCACCGTACTGTTCGTACACAGCTATCCTCGAGGACTCTTCAAGGTTCATGTCGAAGTACAGGTTAGAAGCACGTTTTTAAAATGTTCTTTGGATACATCTTGACATTCTGATGTTGTAGCCTTGAATTTGTGTGCTTGTAATTGTTGTACACATTCCGTAAGTTTTAAAAATATTTATTATACAACTATTTACAACCAAAGAGTAGACTTTCATATAAATTCGGACGCAAGCACATGAAAAATAAATCTATACATCTATTGAAGTGCCAGTAATATTCACATTTTTAAAATGAAGTATGTATTCCACAACAAATTATAAAATAAAAAAAATAGAAACAACTTTCAGTGTTTTACATGCATATAAAAATCTAAACCAAATATTTGTTTTGCTTTTTTTAACAATGCACAGGCTACGTGGCCAACTTGATGGACCTCATCTTCGACCAAGTCTTTGTGGACCCTGCACCATTCACACAGGAGCTTCTGAAGATACCCATCCCAGAGGACCTGTGTTCCCAGTATGAGCGACCTGACAGGGAGGAGGTCATCGCCGGTTATGCTACACGGTTCAATTTGACTGTCTGAACCCAACATAGTTGTTTTGCGGATCAGGAAACTCCCTGTGAATCCTGAGGACAACGCAGGCCGGAATGACTACTCTGATCTTGCGTCCAAGGAAGCCCCAGCACCAGCTCACAAAGCTTCTGTAGGCTAGATACCTGTGACGCCTGAAATAATTGCAAATAATATTTAGTGAAAAGCCTATTTAATTTATGTAAAATACCGTTGATTTTGAATAAAGTTCCGACAGTTTATATCAAATGTGTCATGATTATTCATGTTTGGATGGGTAAAGTATATGCTGCTTTCAAAAGCATAAGGTTGTGTGTGTGGACTTTTTTTGTCGTACACATGGGTGTGTTATGCCATTGCTGTGTAGTATATCATAATAGTAACGCCATGTACAATGACAGAATGAAATGAAAGATTGCAAAAAACCATATACATCAGTATTTATTTTCATGAACAATATTAGCAGACGTTTTACAATTTCAGTCAAAACAAACAAACCACTCACTGCTGTATTTGCCTCATCTGTAGTCTCCCATGTTCAGCTCTGTATATATTGAAAGCATTCTGCAGGGAGAACACATTTAGGCACAAATGCTCCAAACCAGGATGGTCCACCATACAAGGCACAGAGTGCTCAAGTTCCTGCATCCGTCTTGACACCTAGTGTGATAAACATATTGAATGACATGTGAAAAATGTATTCTCTAAACAGAGAACTTAGTGAAGCTATCAAAAATGTTACCTGTGGTATCTCCATGCAGCACACATTCTCTGGTTCAGACGGCATTGCAGCGCAATTTGCACATGTACACCTGTAGAAAGAAGTCAATAACTGAGCTTTTAAAAACACATATGAAAATACACACATTGCTGACAACTGAGGTGTTTAAGCATCTGGAGTTATACTTTTTATGACCCTAAGTTATTGAACTTTCCAACGGTAACAGTTGTTGCACGATGTTGGAAGAAAAGGACTGTATATTATTAATAAACGCAATGAGGCCATATGCTGAAAATATGAATGTCTCCCTATGTAAATATATATATGTACCGCTGTTTTTGCGTTACAAACTCTATGTTACAAACTGTACACATTGCATTCTTGCTAATTAGCCAAAATATGAACGGAAACGGATCAGGTGGTCAGCTGCAGCTCACAGAATCAGACCGTAGACAGCAAACAGCACATAGAGCGAAATGAGGCATGGCTAAAATGCATGATCTGTTTGGTATTTTGAAAACAGAAACGTATAAATATACCTTATATAGGTATGGCCCTACAATATATTATTCAAATATAGCATGATAGGTCCACTTTAAGTTGGAACTAAAAGCCGATCGCGTTCACACCGGAATAAGTTCCCTGAGGGAAGATTACGCAAATGAAGCCGCTGACGTCACTTCTTCTTCTGCTTTGGGTTTACTGGCAGGCCGCAAACCACTTCACGGCGAGTACAGTAGCGGTATGCACCTTAAAGTTGTTTGCAATCCGCCAAAAAACAGAGAGAAGAAGAACTTCACGGCGTATACTGCCACGCCCACCCACCCGCTGTACATAAGGCGTCTGTTTACATTCCGACCTCAGACATGATGGAGATGGAGTTGACTGAAGTTGTGGTTTTTGTGCTCATGTTATACAGTTCTCATCCCGTGCCCACTTTCCTAAGAGGAAAAATAAGCAAGATACAAGATCTGTTTAATCGCCATGTAGTTTTACAACATACTAGGAATTTGTTTACTAGTAGGTTGTCAACGGAGACAACATTGGACAGGGTAGAGACAGTGTACAAAATGCAGGTGTATAGTAGAAGATAATATTGGATCAAATAGCATAAAATATATATATATATATATATACACTTTGTGTGTGTGTAGCTGACACTCAAAGTGCCCTTATTGTTTTGTATTTTTGAAGAGTGCTTAATGTATGCTTGAACATTGTTAAAAAATTACAAGTTTTCTTACCGGAAGTTATGTGACCTCTAGCCCGGATGTTTACAATGTTTGTGAGAGAGTAAAAAGGGCGCTAAAAGTGTAAACGCCGGTCTAGGCGAACACGTTATCACGGTGTTTCATAATTGTACCAAGAAGGAAATAAACGTGATTGTGCTATTCAATGCGTAACGTTCTCTCAAGACCAAGTTACACAGTGTGTGTGTGTGCGTTTGGTTGGTGGAAAGGGAGACGAGCAAGGGCTGGTGTTGCGATCTGGAGGGGAAAGCTCACTCGTTTCTTATCCAGATAGTTGTCCCGCCTGAAACACACGATGAGTGCCATGAGTTAGTGAAGCAAATTACCGAAACATTACACACTTATTCACAAGTCAAAACGTTTTCATAGCGGCCGAGAATAGCTAGCTAGCTAACAGTGTTAGCCAGTTCAGCCTAGCATGGCTAGCTCGATCTACTGAGCAAATAAAAATACATCTGAGATCAGTATTGTGCAGATTAAAACCCCAGTGCATGTAGTTTATTTTACCTTCATCGTCGTCGTCGTCGTCGTTGAACTGTTCACAGGCCACTGAATCCGCCGTTTCAGCGGCCTCCCACACCAGCATGCCCAAATCGAGGGTCGATGCTGTGCCGGAGAATGAAGGTCTGTGGCCGAGCAGAGCATCCAAGCGCTCGTACCATTTGCTGGTCTTCCAGTCGTTACCGCTCTTGTTATTGTGGTCTTTTATTTTTTTGTAGTCCTGCCTGAGTTGAATCTTCCTGGGGGGGGCATACCCCCGGACCCCCCTAGAGGAGGTGATGTCCACCCCCCAATTAAAACATGTTAATACGATACTGAATACATTTGAAGCCATTTTGACATCTATTACCTATGTCAATAAGTTTTTGTTTTTGTAGTGAATTTGTCTTTTGTAGAGATTTTTCATTTATTCTTTATATATAAAATCTCGCCTAGGGCAGCAAATTGGCTAGAACCGGCCCTGGTACTAGGCCTCAAGAGCCTTTCTTGTGCTGGCAGACACATAGAAACAAATTGGCGGGGCGCACTTCGCACACACTAAAAAATTCCATGCGCTCACCTTATGCTGGGCCCACGTGCCTTAGCACCGCTGCTATGACTCCATCCTAGGGGAAACACTGGGCTTCACAAAACCTTTCAGAGTTTTACGGGGCGTGGTTTGCAATTCGCCCAGCCAATCAGAAATTGGAACTTTTTTCTCCCCAGGAAAGTACCACCTCTCTAGCAGGCACTAAAAAAGGGGTAAAAGTTCTCATGAACTAAGTTCTCTTTTTGGTGTGAATGCAAAATCCCAGGAACTATCGGAACTAAACGGGAAAAGTACGGGGAAAAGTACCCCGGTGTGAAAGCGCCTAATATATGCACTCCACTATGCTGTTGTAGTGTTTACTGTATCTGAAGCTCTTAATATGATTGCTCATATTTCAAGCCATCTTTTTCCCGGCCCCTTGCTTTGGATAATTTTCATCAACCGGCCCAAAGAGAGTATACTCATATTTTACAACAATGTGTGTTCATTTATGGCTCTGTAGTTTAAGAGGAAATACGGCATGCCTGTCTCAAACCGTTTCAGAGTGAATCAATATATGATGACATGATTTTCCCCCCTAGATCTAACAAACTCTGTCTCTTTTGGTGTTTCAGGGTGGATCACTGGAACAATGAAAAAGAGCGTCTTGTCCTCATCACAGACAACTCTCTCCTTGTCTTCAAGTACGACTTTGTCATGTTCAACTGTGAGCAAATCCAGAGGATCGCGCTCAACTTTGTGGACCGCATCTCCTGCGGCAAATTCAGCTTCCCAAAGCACTCCCTGCTGCAGTAAGTCCCCCCCCATTAGCTTTACCCTCACAGGTTAGTATTGTCCTGTAATGTGTGGTGTTTACCAGGAAACACTTAAACACTTATAGAGACATGTTCATTAACATTTTAAAAGTGTGCAAAGCTTATTGTGTTCTAGTGAAACCTTTAGATCTCTGGTGTCCCGTCTGATTTTGAGTAACTGCTGGCAAGTTATTTTCATGGAACTGTTAAGTTTTAATAGAAAAATCTCTGATAATTACAAATGTTAGCCCAATTTTCTGCGCTGTGCCCACATTTGCTTCATAAAAGGAAAAATCCCTTTAAAAAATCCCATTCAGCTCTAACACAAAACCTGTTCAATCGCCTGTTAGTATGTTATTGCTTCATAACTATTCTAAAGAAAGGTATCATACAACGCATACGCAGGGTTTTTGGAAGAGGTAAATGTGTAATGAGGACTGTAACATGCAGTCTTTTTAATGACTTGGTTCAAATGATGCATAAAGTATGCATGGTTTACTTCACAGTATTGACAGTGATTGGTGTTGTCAGGGCTGACAGTGACACGATGCTGAGGGCAGCGCTGTGCAGGGACACATGCGGGGCTGGGGGGGGGGGAAGTTAACTGGGGACACATGGAACAGCCTGAAAAAGGCACGGCAGCGGAACACGTTTTTTGGGGGTAAGTAGTGCATAGCTGTCACTTGGAGCTGTCGCTTAACTGATTAGTGGCAAAATTAATGTAGTCCTTTCATCCAAACCTTTTAAAGACGGCTCAAGGGATACCAAACGAACTAAAACTAATTTGATGAATAAAACGTAATGCGCTGTGAAGAGCTTAGAGAGCTCGGCCTTTATTGGAGGCTTTATCTCTGCACATTACGCTGAATTATACATAAAACGCTTGTGAAAGCCACCCGGGAGTCCCAACAGTGAAGAGACAGATTCAAATGAGAAAGAGTCAAACATTTCCTCTCTCTGTCTTCATCTCCTCCTCCTCTCTGTCTCTCCCTCAGGAAGTGTCTCCTTTTGTGCGTCAAGGTCATTCTGTCTAATTTTTTACAGAAAGTGATATGCAGGAATTTCATGGTTATATTAAAACGCATCCCCCTCGCCGCTGTAATAGTGCATATCACTTCAAAAGGCAGTGTGAAAGAAAAGTAGGAGAAGTCAGGCTGTGAACTTTATTCAGCTGCTATCTGTCATAATCTGTCAGGGTTTCCTGTTTTATTTAGAAAATCGTTCTTTTTCACTTCCTGTCTTTGTGTTTTCCCGCCTTTGTGATTGTCGGATTCTTTCCACCTGCTGCTTTCTGTTTCGCCTTGTTCTATTTCGTATATGGCTTCGCCCTCTAAGGCTATCGCTATTGGGTAATCCCCCTGCGCACCCGCGCAGCACTGAAACACTTGTAGTCCACGCCCGCCCGCAAGGTGGGCCCCACCCTCGGGCTCCCTTCCGGTATAAATAGGAAGGAGGCCCGACAATCTGCTCCCTCTTTTTCTTCAGCACCCCGTTACTGAAGCACAAGAGACACTTAGCGATATAACAGAGAACATGAGCAACAATTGCGTGAGAGACTGTCCCTCATGTGGATCCGGTTATATTATGAGCTACGATCAGCACACTGTATGCGAATCCTGCCTGGGGTCAGAGCACGCGTACGCGGCTCTCAGCCAGCAGGTCGCATGCACGCACTGTGCCCGTCTCCCCTCGGACGACAGGAAGCGTAGAGCGGACGCTCTCGCTGCTGCGGCCGAGGAGGACGATTGGCCCGTCCAGGTTTTCGAGCCCGTGGACGGCAGCCTCGTGTCCCTGGAGCCGAGTGCCGGGCAGGAGTCGGACGACTCCTACCCCGTCTCCCTCCACGGTTCACCGTATGGTTCTCCCCTCCCTCCTCTCCCCCGGACGGGGGAGACAGAGTCGGAGCAGGGTCCCGACTTGGCGGCCGAGCACGCGGTCCCCTTCTCCGTCACCACGGCGCTGCCGGCGATAGGTGGCATCTTGGGGGACCTGCCAGGGATCATTTGCAAGGCGGCCGCCTGCAGAGGTCTCCCCGTTCCCCTAGCTCAGGAGAGGTGTGTGTTTTTTCGCGGGTGCAGACGGTCAGGAGTGATCCGATCTGGCCACGCTTCCCCGCCATCAGGAGGTACCAGGAGGGGGCGGCGGCGAACCCAAGGACCCTGAAGGCTCCGGTGGCCACATTTGTTCCCCTCACCAAGGTGGAGGGATTTACAGATGCTGGATTCCCAGCCACCCCTTCCCTGGAGCCGGGCCTGACGGCGTTTTTTGGGGTGAGGCAGGCCAACATGATCGCCGGACGGCGCCCTACGTTGGCCTCCCCCAGGGACCAGAATGTCGCCCGCCAGGCCGACTGGGTGCACCAGTGTGCCTTTCAGGCGTTGGCGGCGGCGAACAACATCGCGCTGCTCTCTAACTCGGTGGTGACGCTGGTGGAGCGGTCCACCACCTTGGCCGCTGATGAAGCGGAGGAGATCGCCAAGGCGGCCAGCACGGCGCTCACACTGTGCGCGTCTGTCGCTGTCTCCCAGGCAAGGATCGCCGCGTGGGTGACGCAGATCCAGCGCCACCTCTGGCTGCAGCAGGCGTCTGTTACAGAGAAGGCCAGGAAGGTGTTACTGGACGCTCCAATCAGCCCGGACGGGCTGTTCGGACCCCAGTTCCACGCCATGGTGGAGTCCATGAAGGCGGCTGCAGAACAGGCGGACGACATCCGCCAGCACGTCAGCTGGCTCTAGCAGGCAGATTTAGTAACTGTTTTAATGTGACTGTTGAAACTCAGGTCAGAGTCCATGACTACACCTAGATTTCTGGCTTTATCTGTTGTTTTGAACATTGCAGACTGAAGCTCAGCGCTAACTTTTATACGTTCTGCCTTGGCTCCAAAAACCATTACCTCAGTTTTATCTTTGTTTAATTGGAGAAAGTTCTGACACATCCAGTCATTGATTTGTTCAATGCACTTACTCAGTGTTTGAATTGGAGCATAGTCTCCTGGTGAAATTGTTACGTAAATTTGTGTGTCATCCGCATAGCTATGGTAACTTATTTTGTTGTTCTTCATTATCTGAGCCAGTGGTAGCATGTAGACGTTAAAGAGAAGAGGCCCCAAGATGGAGCCTTGAGGTACCCCACATGTCATATTTGTCAACTCAGATGTGTATTTACCTATAGAAACAAAGTTGTTTCTGTCCTTTAAGTAGGATTCAAACCAATTTAGAACTGTTTCCGAAAGTCCCACCCAGTTTTCCAGTCGGTCTAGTAATATGTTGTGGTCAACAGTGTCAAACGCAGCACTGAGATCTAATAATACTAACACTGAAGTTCTGCCACTGTCTGTGTTTAAGTGGATGTCATTGAAGACCTTTACAAGAGCAGTCTCAGTGCTGTGGTTTGGACGAAAGCCTGACTGGAACACATCCAAACAGTTATTTAAATGCAAGAAGTTACTCAACTGTTGAAAAACAACTTTTTCAATGATTTTACCTAGAAATGGCAGGTTTGATATGGGCCTGTAATTGTTAATTACACCCGCACTGCCTGGGGTCTGCCTGTCAGGAAGTTCAGGATCCAATCACAGAGGGCGCTGTTGAGCCCAAGGTCTCTGAGCTTGATGACCAGCTTGGAGGGCACAATGGTGTTGAAAGCTGAACTGTAGTCAATGAACAGCATTCTCACATATGTGTTCCTCTGGTCCAGGTGTGAGAGGGCAGTGTGGATGGTGAGGGCTATGGCGTCGTCTGGGAGGTGATGAAGGTTTTGACTAACCGCTCAAAGCACTTCATGATGATGGAGGCGAGTGCTACTGGGCGGTAGTCGTTGAGGCTGGTGGTTTTAGTCTTTTTGGGGACATGAACGATGGTGGAGTGTTTGAAGCATGTGGGGACTACAGACTGCAGCAGGGACCTGTTGAAGATGTCTGTGAACACCTCTGCCAGCTGAACTGCACACACCCTGAGAACACGGCCAGGGATGCCATCAGGTCCAGGAGCCTTGTGTGGGTTAACCCTTTTAAAGGATTTGCACACATCTGTCCTGTTTAAAACAAAAGGGCAGGGCTCCTGATCCTTCTGTGCCTCCACAGCCTGGCTGCTCTCGAATCGTGCAAAAAACCGATTCAGCTCATCTGGGAGAGATGCGCATGCAGACAGTCGCGCATCACCCCCGACAGCTCCTTTGTAATCTGTCATTGTTCTTAGTCCCGCCCACATGTTCCGGTTGTGTTACAGCTTTTGAAGTCAGACTCCACTTTGTCTCTTTGCACTGCTAATTGCTCTCCGGAGTTCATACCTAGATTTATTGTACTCATCTGAATCTCCACCTCTGTGCGCGATAGTGCACGCTTTCAGCTTGGTATGCACCTCGCTGTTTATGCAGGGCTTTTGATTCGGGAATGTTCGTACAGTAACCTTCGGTACCACGTCATCGATGCATTTCCCAATGTAGCAAATGACCGTGTCCTCTGCAGTTGGTGCGGTCGGCTCGCATGTTTCGGACCGGGTTAAAAGCACACTGCAAAAAGTAAATAAACAAAAAAATGTAAAAAAAATGTAAAAAGCAAAGTTGGAGAGGAGCCAAAGACAATGCAGCCATCTTCACCGGGGCACCATTGTGATTACCATTGTGTGTATTGAGTCCTGTCTTCCATTGAGCTTGTTGTGTGATCGTCGTCGATGTCACCTGTTCCTGTCTGTGAGTCTGCTCCTGTTCCTTGTGTCTCCTGGTTAGTGTTTGTTATTTTTTCTTTGTGTTTTTTTTTTTTTTACCTTACCCGCTCTGGTCCCTGTTTTGTACCAGCTTTTGAATAAAGCTCGCTTTTTGTTTACACTTTGATACCCGCCTTACCTGTCTCTGTACTGCATTTGGGTCCTATTTACCCCAACCTTGACATGCCTGGTATATAACAAATTGTAATGAGGTGATAAGCAGCTATATACTTTAGCAACTAAATAACAACTACAACTCCTGTAGGGACCCTTAAGGCGAGACACGGCAGGCAA